CCTCCAGCTCCAGCTCCCTGCCTCCAGCTCCAGCTCCCTGCCTCCAGATCCAGCTCCCTGCCTCCAGCTCTGCTCTAGCTCCTGCTGTTGTGACTTCCCCATCACCATGAACTGTAAGCAGGGCGGCCTCATCTGGGACCCCAGCCTGCAGCAGGGTCTCACTGTCATGTTGGCTGTGGCCCCATAGCTCCAGATGGCCAACATGGGCCCAGTAGTTTACAGAGCAGCCTGTTGGGATATGTGTGGAGTGCCCAAAGCTAGTGGCACCATCATGAATGTCCAGAGAGACCTGTGGGGACATGGTAAGGATGAATCATCCCAAACTGGCCGAACCTCAAAGCCCCAGGCGTTTCAGGACCAAGGCATGGAAAGAGCAGGCCTGAAGTCATACAGGTTCCCTGAGTGAAGTAGGATACAGAGAATGACCTGGGGAGAGGCACAGGGACAACAGTCAGGGTGAGCCTGGGAAGACAGAGATGACCTAATGATGGAAAACAGGGGCACAAACCTATGGCTGCTCAGCTTCTGCACATGTTCTTGCTAATAAAGTTTTATTAGAATATGGCTCTGCTCCTTCATCAACTGCTGCTAATGGCTGCTCTCCCTATAGCACACTGGGAGACTCCCACACAGCCTAAGGATTTCCTTTTTCTCTCCCTTCCTTCCTTCCTTCTTTCTTTTTTCCTTCCTTCCTTCCTTCCTTCCTTCCTTCCTTCCTTCCTTCCTTCCTTCTTTCTATCCTTCTTTATTGGGGCAGGGTCTCTTTAAGTAGCCCTGACTCTCCTGGAACTTGCTTTGTAGACCAGGCTGGCCTTGAACTCACAGAGATCCATCTGCTTCTTGGTGGTGATGTGCATCACCATTTTGTCCCCTCTGTGGAGAAGCCTGCTGGCCTTTGCTGTGGTGCACTGCTCCTCCCTGTTCCACTTTCAGCTGTCTCAGGCCTTAGGTAAAACGTCCACCCCCATTACTGGAAAAGAGATGAGGATTGGGGTTGAGGCGGGCATCCCTGGCCACAGCCATCTGCAGTGTTGACGTGGACCAGGATTGTTGGTGTCACCCAGCCACACCGTCTCAGGCTGCTCCAAACCTGCCAGACCAGATTCACATTTTAAAAACTCTTATTTTGGGTATATGGATGTTTTGCTTGCATGTTTGCCTGTGCAACACACACGTGCAGCCCCTGAGGTTAGAAGGTGCTGAAGCCCTGGAGTTACAGATGGCTCCGAGTTGCCATGTGAGTGCTGGGAGCCAACCCTGAGTCTTCTACAAGAGACAGTATTCTTTACCACTCAACCAGTTCCCCTGCCTCAGATTCACACTTTTAAATTAAAAACCTAATTAGATTAAGCACCTAATCTCGGAAGATGTTTAGCCTGTGGATGCATGGCAAGCTTGGACAGAGTGGTGCTCATACCAGAGGGCCACAGGCAGGCCTCCTCCACCGGGGGACACAGGCAGGCCTCCTCCACTGGGGGACACAGGCAGGCCCTCTCCACTGGGGACACAGGAAGATCCTCTCCACTGGGGACACAGGAAGGCCCTCTTTACTGGGGGACACAGTCCTTGGTAAACAGAGGAAGGTGAATCTCCAGGTGCAAGGCCAGCCTGGTTACAGAGTGAGATCCAGGACAGTCAGGGCTGTAGAGAGAAATCTTTCAAAAAAAAACCAAAATAATTTCTTTCTTCTTGAGATAGGGTCTCACTAAGTTGCCCAACCTGGCTTTGAACTTGTAATTCTCCCTTCTCAGCTTCCCAAGTAGCTAGGATGATAAGCCTGCCTCTCCAAGCCTAGCTCCACTCTTTACAATCGTATGAGTGATAATGACTGTGTGAGTGACGGTGACCATGAGGGACGGTGACCATGTGACGGTGACCATGAGTGACGGTGACCATGCAAATGACGGTGACCATGCGAGTGACAGTGACCATGAGTGACGGTGACCATGAGTGACGGTGACCATGTGAGTGACGGTGACCATGTGACGGTGACCACGTGAGTGATGGTGACCATGAGTGACGGTGACCATGTGAGTGACGGTGACCATGTGACGGTGACCACATGAGTGACGGTGACCATGAGTGACGGTGACCATGAGTGATGGTGACCATGTGACGGTGACCACGTGAGTGACGGTGACCATGAGTGACGGTGACCATGAGTGACAGTGACCATGAGTGACGGTGACCATGAGTGACAGTGACCATGAGTGACGGTGACCATGCGAGTGACAGTGGATGACTGCGGGTGGCTTCCTTGTGATGGCTGCTAGCAACTGTCAACCTCACAGGATGTAGACTCAGCATGTTCCTGAGGGATTTTCTAGATTAGGCTGAGGTGGGGAGACCCATCTGAATGTGGGCAGCAGCATTCCCTAGGCTACACTCTGTTTCCTGACTACAGATTCTGTGTGGATGGCTCCCTCATGCTCCTGCCCCCGGGGCCTTCCCAACCAATGTTCCCTAAATCTGTGATCTGAGACAAACCCTTTGCTGGATATGGTGCCCCAGCAACAAGAGAAACAACTTGTCTAGCCTATGAGGTCCCTTGATTTCAGCCACGTTGAGGAAGCATAACCTAACCCTTCTTTCCCCACCTGGATGTGCCCGTGGCCATATATGGAGAAGGAGTGGGCCCAGTGCCTGGGGCTGGTGTGGTGGGGCCTGAGGTGTCAAGGTTGGCATCGAGGTGACAGCTGTCACTCCACAATTCCATCTGTGCTGAGCAGTTGGGAGACTCCTGGGCACCGGTCACTTGCACCCCCACCTTAAAGGCCGGCCATTCCTACAGGCGAGGCACCAGAACAGACGGCAGTGGGTGGAAGGAAGCAAGGAGACCATGAAAAGGGCTCAACCCAGCTTGCGGTGTCAGAATAGGAGCCGGAATTCTGCAGAATTCCTGAGCCCCAAGACAGACTCCTTGAGTCCCAGTGTCCCCAGAGACTCCAGGTGTGTGGCACATTTCCTGAAGCAGTAAGTTCATCTAATCCACCGCAGTCTCCACTCATGTTTGCCCCTGTGGGCTCCCTGTCACGAAGAAAAAGGTCCAAGACTTAGAACAAGCGACAGGGGTGGCACTGTATCTACCACTGCTGAGACATCTTGGGCTTCGCCTGGCATCTAAAGAACAGCCCCTAGGAACTAGGGTCGGAGCTATCTGTCCCACAAGCACAGGTCACAGAAAGGCCTGGAGCCACAGCTTTGGGCTCCAGGGGGTTCTTTTGCCCCTGCCCTGGGATCTGGGATTCAGAGTCTGGGAGAAGCCACACAACTAAGATCCTTCCTACCTGAGTCATTCAGCAGGCTGAAGTTGAGAGTCAGGCTGCCTGAAAGCTGGCCATGCCCAGGATCCCTGGTGCAGGTCCCCATGGAGAGGACTCCGGTGTAGGTCTGCCCCTGCCCCCACCCGGAGCTCTGCGGCTAAGGCCCGGCTGCAGTTCTGGGTGAGGTGCAGGTCATGCTGTGCAAACCGCTGTCCCCTGTCTCCTCACGCTCATCCTGCAGGAAGAAGCTCGGCATGACTGAGCCAGTGGCAACCTTAACAGAAGCAGTGGGGGAGGGGAGGGCAGAATACTGGGTGGGCAGATGCTAGATCTGTGGTTCTGCGAGGCCAACACTAGTGGAGTGGACGGAGGCACACCAACCTCTACCAAGATGCTCTAGGCCACACGATTAAGACAGCTGGGCTGGTGAGGGTATCTGCTGCCTCCTGAGCTCCTGGCCCACCACGTGCTGATGTACACCGAGGAAGTTCACAGGCGAGGGAGCGGCTCTAGGGGTCTCCTGTGCAGGGAAGGTTTGCACCTGGCAGCCCCCCAGGACTGCTGGAACAGCTTCACCCCGTGATGCCAGCTCAGCTCTATGCAGGGTCCACACATCTCCCGCTACAACCTTCTCACAGACTCTCGGAAGCTCACGGCGCTCTGAGGGAGTCCAGGCGCTCTGCTGGGATAGCTCTCCTGACTGTCTACCTGACAGGCTCAGTGTCTACCTGACAGGCTCTAGAATAGCCCAGGAGACAAATCTGTGCATGTCTGTGAGGGGTCTCCTAGGCTGGGTAAACTGATGCGGGAAGACCCACCCTAACTGTAAGCAGCACCACCCCGTGGACGGGGATCCTAGACTAAATAAAAAGGAGGTTTCTGACTTTGGTTGCAGCGAGACCAGTTGCCTCAAACTTCTGCTGCCACACTTTCCCCGCCAGGATGCTGTAACCTCAAACTGCGGTCCAGCAATACTTGGGAGCCTGAGGCAGGATGATCTTGATTGAGGCTAGCCTGGACTACCTACACTCTGTCTCAGAAACAAACCTGAAGCTGCAGGGCGATTGGTAAAGAAAAGTCCCCAGACTATCTTGATACAAAATATATATCTTTAATAAACAGAAGTAAGACTTACAACAGCTTACACCAGAATCCAACCGATCCATCCGGACACAGGAGCCAGGCGAAAAGAGAGCTAGCAGAGCACATTTGCAAGGTTTATAGGCAGGCTTTTGCCTGAGGGCGGCACGCCCCGAAAACAAAATATGATTGGCTGAACTCCCCTATCACAAACCAAACCAACAAAAGCTTCAGTCCAGTCTTTTCCCTTTTCTTTTTTGAAGACTTTTTTTGTTCGTTTGATTTTTTTCAAGACAGGGTTTCTTTGGAGCCTGTCCTGGAACTAGACAGGCTTGTAGCCCAGGCTGGCCTCAAACTCACAGAGATTCGCCTGCCTCTGCCTCTCGAGTGCTGGGATTAAAGGCGTGAGCCACCACCACCTGGCTACTGAAGACAGTTTTTAAAAATTTAAAGACTTACTTTTATTTTGTATGGGCGTTTTGCCTGCATGTATGTCAGCATATAGTATCTACAGAGGCCAGAAATTGGGGTCCTCTGGAAGAGTGGCCAGTGCTCTTAACCACTGATCCATCTCTCCAGTCTCACCTCCCCCATTTCTATTTCCTTCTCAGACGACAATGATCCACCGAAGATCGGCATTTGTGTCCAGCCCTAGAATCCATGGTTTAAGAATTCTCCATGAAGCTGGGCAGTGGTGGCACACGCCTTTAATCCCAGCATTCAGGAGGCAGAGGCAGGTGGATCTTTGTGAGTTTGAGGCCAGTCTAGTCTACAGAGTGAGTTCCAGGACAGTAAAGTCTACCAAAGAAACCCTGTCTCAAAAACTAAATAAAATAAAATAAAAAAGCTCCATGGAGGGCTGGAGATGGGCCCCACGGGGAGAGTGCTCACTGAGCATGCCCAGAGCCCTGAGTGCAAACCCAGCAATGCAGAAAACAGACACAGTGATGCACTCCTGTAATCCCAGAACTCAGGAGGTAGAGACAGGAGGGTCTGGAGTTTAAATTCATTTTTGGCTACATAGAGAGTTGGAGGCCAGCCTGGGTTACACAAGACCCTGTCTCAGAAAAAACAAACACCATGATGCAGCCTCAATCTGAAAATCCACAACATTCTAAAATCTAAGCCTGGTGGAGCACTCACTCCATGGCGGAGCACCCACTCCATGGCAGAGCACTCACTTCATGGTGGAGCGCTTTGGATTTGAGGATTAGGAATCTAAGCAGATACCAACCCCAAAGACCCTGAAACACAAGAGCACTTCCACCCCAAGCAGTTCAGGCGAGGAGGGTCTTCTAAGATAACACTGGTCATGGGACGCATTCCACAGTGCAGCCAGGGATCAGAGGACAACCTGCACCATGTGGATCCTGGGGACCAATCCCGGTCTGTTGGGCTTGGCAGCAAACACACACATCTCTGGCCCAGGTGAGTGGTTATTGTCTGTCCTAGACAGTAGCCCGAGAGGCTCTGTGCCCAGGTGTGCCCTTTAGTGGTAGACAATCTTCGTTTGAGTATTAGAGGCTCTGACAAGCCCTGCACAAGGAAGTCTCTGCAGTTTTACTAGTAAAAGATTCTCTTTGCCAAGTCCTCTTGAATCTACCCTGGGAGCTCACAGGAAGCAATTGCTCAAGATGCTCAAGGCATCTGTGGTGGCTCTTATTGGTTGTCAATGGACTATATCTGGAATTACTAATTAAAACCCAAGTGGCTGGACATACCTGTCAGGGATTTTTTTAAATTAGATCATTTGAAGTGGGAAGGCCCACCTGGACCACACGTCCGCTGGCAGCCCATATAAGGACACGGGAGAAGGAAGCTTTTGCTCCCGGCCTGCTTGCTCTGACTCTAGATGGCAAGTCCATTTCTTCACTAGCATTGGAGCCTACTTCTTCAGGATAGCCTCATGGACTGAACAACTACCGGATTCTTGGCCCTTCTGCTGGTAGACAGTCATTGTTGGGCTAGCTGGACCGCAGCCTGTGAGCCACTCCAATAACTCTCATATATCTCTCTCTCTATATATATAGTTATATAGATATGAAAATGTCATTCTATCAGCTCAGTTCCTCTTGAGAACATGAGGTTGCTCAACTCTCCCCTTCTCTGGATGTCACATGAGACATTTTGTCCAGCCGGCCACTGAGTGCTAGTCAAGGCCCCACAGGCTGAGGACCCAGCCTCGCCATCTCCCCTCAGATGTCCTGAGGAGCAGCTGCGCTGAGTCCCGGTCCCCCGCAGCATCTTGGAAAACAACTGCACCCCAGGAGGAACGTATGACTGTTACAGTCTTCTGCAGGCTCAGATGTATGAACACTTGGTCCCCAGCAGGTGGCGCTATTTAGGGAGAGTTGTGGAGCCTTTGGGAGTCGGAGCCCTGGTAGAGAAGTGGGTCACTGAGGGGTTACCCCACTTCCTGCGCACTCCCTGCGGCCTCATCCACCAAGCCATTAGCAAGCAGCTTCATGCTCCTGTCACAGCTTCAGGCTGCTCACTCTGTGGTGCACTGCGCCCTCAACCTCTTTGAGCCAAAACAGCTACTTGTTATAACCAGCCGTTTGTTCCAGGAAACGTAACAAACACAGAGACGGTAAATGGGTGGTGACCTCCGGACTCCAAGAGGTGTTCCTGGAAGTCCCAGGGAGACTCATTGCCGGGCTGCTCTATCAGGGCTCCATGCAAAGGGAGGTGGAAGCTGGGCACCCAGACCACACAAAAACTGAAGTCAGGCAAGCCTGGGTTCAAACACTAGGGGCACCACTGTGTGTGTCCTCAACGTGGAGACCTTTCCGGCTGCGCAGTGGGGAATCAGAAGGAAATACTAACCCAGATAGTTACTAGCCCTTGTGGGACCCTTCTGCACACAGAAAGCCAGCTCCCTGTGCTCCTTTTCAAGGGGCCCTACCACTTCTCCCAGTGAGAGACAAACAAGGCAGGCCTTGGGATGTGGGTTTTGATGGATAAAATGACTGCGACTCCATGGTCCCTGCCCTCCCAGGTCCCCAGCTGGCACACGTTTGGCTGAGTGTTGGGTTAGATGGGAACAGATTGTGCAAAGGCTACTAGCAAACAATACAGTGATTCCGTCCTTCGACCTACTCTTCCTTAGAAGTGGGGGAGGGTGCCTAAAGTGGGGTTGGTGGTGTGTACCTATAATCCCAGCCCTCTGGCAGCAGAGGGAAGAGGATCCAGAGTTCAAGGAAGGCCGTCTTGTGCTATATAGTAAGCTCAAGACTAGCCTAGGCCACATGAGACTCTGTCTTTAAAGCACACACACACACACACACACACACACACGCATACACACACATGCATGCACACACACACATGCATACACACACACACGCCTGCACACACACACTCATGCTTGCATACACACATGCATACACACACACACATGAGGAAGGAAAGGAGAGAGGGGGCAATGTCCATTCTGAACACACAATTCAGAATGCCCCTCTGCTCCCCTCCTCCATCCGTACCCACCCTCAGCCCACGTGAGTGTAGTGGGCCTTAATGAATGGCTCTGAACGAAAGGTTGCCCACTCAAGCTGCCTCTGCTGGGCCTAAACGCCACACTCCTGAACACACAGCATGGGCTGCCAGCTTCACACAGCTATGAGCACCCCCATATTCCAGCTAGCAAAACTGAGGCAGGACAGTGTGAGGTGCTGATCCCAAGGCCACAAAGTTGTTAAGCTGGTGTTGGGATGCTCCTAGCTCCCCTCAGGTTGCCCCTGCCTCCTGCTGGACCATGCTGACCATGAATCCCGCACTGTGCTCCTGGCTCTCTGACCATTACCTTACTGAACCTCACACTGCTCTGCTAGGTTGTTGATACCACCCCATTTCCCAGCTGGCAAAACTGAGGCTCAGAGGTCTTAAGTGATTTACCTCAGGTCACACAGCCAGTGAGCACAGGGCTAGGAACTGAACTTGAATAAGCTGGGCACCCACTGGCTTCAGAGTTGCTTGGAGATGGAGACCATCTCCATCTCCATCACCCAGGCCTCTGTGGTGGTTAGAATACGAATGGTCCTCATAGACTCACGGTCAAGCCTTTGACTCATAGGGAGGGGACTGTTGGGAGGTGTGGCCTTGTTGGAGGAAGTGTGTCACTGTGGAGGCGGGCTTTGAGGTCTCACGCTCAGGCTCAGTGTGGTACAGTCTTCACTTCTGCTGCCTGTGGATCCAGTGTAGGACTCTCAGCTCCTCTCCAGCACCATGTCTGCCAGCATGCTGCCATGCTTCTCACCATGGCAATAATGGACTAAACCTCTGAAACTGTAAGCCCCAATTAATGTTTTCCTTTCTAAGAGTTGCTGTCGTCATGGTGTCTCTTGACAGCAATAGAACTCTTAACTAAGACACCACCCATCACCTAGCAGAGACTGGCCTAAGGCAGAAACACGGAGCGCACAGAAACACACCGACACCAGCTACTCTAGGGGATTCATGATTTCCTCCAAGATGCACAGCCAAACTACATTTCCCAGCTTTCTCCACACCAGGTGGGATTTCCTATGAGTTCTGGCCAGGAATGTGGGCTGGGGTGATGGTGCTACTGAAAGGCCTGGTGGTGGTGGTGTGGACAGGGCCGTCTGGGCCGCAGTGCAGGTGTGGACAGGGCCGCTCTGGGCCGCAGTGCAGGTGTGGACAGGGCCACTCTGGGCTGCAGTGCGCGTGCTCAGGAGACCCATCAGTGTGTCCCACATCAACACGGACTGGGATTCTGGCTCCCAGGCCACCTTGTCACCCTCTTATCTCCCCACCACTCATTTGTGGCCCCTTTTCTGTATGTGGTGGTTGGAATACCTGATTTCTTGTTGGTGGCTATTTAGTAAGGATTAGGAGGTGTGTCATTTGTCAGGGGTGGGGGAAATTAAAGATTAAAACCTCCCTAGTAGGTCCTCTCTGCTTCCTGCTTGAGATCAAGGTGGGCCATGCCTTTGCTTCACTTTTATGGACTCTAACCTCTGAACCTGTAAGCCAAATTAAATGCTTTCTTTTATAAATTTCCTAGGTCATGGTGCTCTCTCACACCAATAGAAACCCTAACTAAGAGACTGACTCTTTCATTTTTTGAGAAAAGAACCCATGTAGCTCAGCCCGGCTCCAAACTCTAGTAACCGAGGATGGCTTTGAACCCCTGACTGTCCTATGGAATTGCAGGCGTACACAGTTATGCTGTGTTGGGGATGGATCCCAGGGCTTCATGTGCACCAGGCAAGTGTTCTGCCTCTCAAGCCACAGCCCTGGTCCCCTTCAGTGGATTAGTAAGACCCCTTTCCCTCATGCACGGGCAGAGGCCCGCCTGGGATGCGGTGTGGTTGGCAGCAGTTCGAACAGCTACACTGAAGTTAAATGCTCCTTGTCGATGCCAGGTGAGGTCAAAGCCACCATTGAAGTGAAGGCTCTGGGGAGACAGCCAGGAGAAAGCATGCCCTTCACTCCTGCAGGGCCCGCCAGCTTCCCTAGCAGGTTGGCAAGATGGCTCAGCAGGTAAAGTCACTCCCCTCCTGATGACCTGAGTTCTGGACCACATAATGGAAGGAGAGAACTGACTCTTTCAAGTTGTTCTCTGACCACTACACGTGCACAGGCTGCATGAGTGTATTCATATACATTACATATATACATACATATGTATGTATATAACTTAAAAAAATAAAAAGTTTAAAGGAAAGCACTGACATGACCAGGGTAAACAGTCTCAAGCTAAGGATGACTTCGAACCCTTGATCATACCGATTCCCCTCCTGAGTGTTGGGATTATAGGCATGCACCCCACAGCAGGCTCCCCTTGGCAGATACTAGCTATCATTTGTCCAGCCTGGGGACACTCACTGGGACGAACGGGTGACATCTAAAGCCATGAGTTCCGGATCCCTCCACGCTGAGAGCTGCCCTGGTGGAAATCTTCAGATGCAGAATGACTTTCTGGTTGATTTCTAGTGTAGCCTCATTATTCTTAGCCTGAACGTGTGAGAACCAGAGCTGTGGAGAGAGATCACCGTCATGTCCTCATGCAAAAGAAGCCGCGTCAGAATTCAGAGACCAAAAGCAAGTGGCCAGTGATTGATGTCCAAAGTGTAGTCTAGTCTCTTGCATTCGTGGGAGAGAACATGGGACCAGGTGCATGCTGGGCCTTCCAGCAGGGCAGTGCCAGTGCTCTTAGAGGTGGTGGGTTAAGACCCTCCCCACAAATTGGGGCTCAGTCAGTCTGTCTTCTTCCCTGCTTCCTAGTACTTAGATACCAGTACACAGTAGGTACTAAATAAGTGCGGAGTCACTGGTTCTAGCCTGAAATGTCAAGGTCAACGCTGAACTGGAGTGGGAGAAGGACACAGAGTGGGAAGAGGAACTGCAAGACCCACATCCTAGCCCTGGAGCCTGAGGCAACATGGCCTTCCAGACAAAGGTGATTCAGGGATCTCAAGATGGGGACAGGTTCCCGTCTTCATCCGAATGAGGATTTGATGAGGGCAACGGGAGGGTCACGGTCAGATGCAGAGAGTGTGACCTGCTCTGCTGCCCTTGGGAAAGCCACGGTGTGCAGACGGCTTCGGACGGGAATGCTTCTTCCTGAGCATCTCTGCAGAGAGCTTGGTGGTGCTGGTGGTCCTACAGTTCTACTCCAGTGGATCCCTTTGCAGTCCTGAGCTCAGGGACCGAAAGACATATTTGAAATGGCTACAAATGTGGGGCAGTATGTAACCCAACAAGAGAAAGCACAGAGTTATCAATTATTCACTCAGCAACCACTCAGCGGCTGCTGGAAGCCAATGATACCGTTGCTGTTGATTTCATGTCTTCCTGTCTGTACTGATGGAGAAATCCGACTGTCTGCCCCGAGGTCTCATTCTCATCTGTGACAGTTCACTCTATATAAGGAAACATGGTTTTTCTTGGAACCAGAACAGCAGAAAAGGAAGCAGCTAGGAGGAAAATGTTTGTAGAAAAACCTATTTGTTCTTACGAGTCCAGGCAATCACTCTCCCGTGGAGTTGCCTCCCAGCCAAGGCACAGCTCTGAGCAGAGAGAGCAGACAGCAAAAGGACAATAATGGAGGCCTCTCCAGCCCCTGCTGCTGGCCAGATGTTGTCAGCTGGGATTTGAGTCTAAGCAGAGCCAGACCTTATTTTTCTTTTCTTATAAACAGCAGAAATCCAGGCTTTGTCTAAACCCTCCCAATTCTTAAGGTAAGCAGGCCATAAAAACACACGTGGGCCTGTGTTTGGCCTGGAGCATCACTCCATGGTCTCGGGTGAGGAACCCACAAAAGCCACTGGGAGCCACCCGTGCAGGTTTCTGACTTGGCATTCTGTACTGTTTCCCCTCAGATGTTACTGGCCAGCGTCGGAGAAATCTCTGATAGCCCCCCTGACTTATGGGAAGCGAAGCCCTGGGCCCTGCTCAGCCCTCACTGCCTGCTTGGCTTCATCTTCCTTCCTGTTTCATTCCCTGTGCACACAGTAGGTGTTCAGTAAATGTTTGTTGGAGATTGTGGTGATTCCCCTCTCCCCACGAGAGGGTCAGGAGAAAGAGTCTAAGGCAGTCTTGTAAACATGTGGTATGTAAGTGCTTAGGGGAGATGACCAATTATATCCTGAGCTGTGGCCACTGTGCAAAAGGGATGTACTACCCACCTCAGAGGAAAGGGACCTGAGACCCAGGGACACAAACTTGTAATGACATACAGGCAGTGTGAGTCCAGGATGTATTGCTAAGACTTTGCAAATCGAAGACCGTGGGCCATAGCCTACTGTCCAAGAAGCCTGTTCTGTTTATTAGATTTAAAAGGGTTTTAATTTTTATCTATTTTTAAATTTTATTTGGATGCAGGGTCTCACCATGCAGTCCTGGCTGGTCTGGAATTTGGCCAGGCGAGCCGCCAACTCAGGAGGTCCCCCTGACTCTGCCTCCTGCTATCTGCCTCCTGCATGTCATTTCAGTCATGTGTCTGTATTATGACTGCTGGTGCCCGTGGGACCAGAAGAGGCCATCGCAAGCCTGGGACTGGAGTTAAGGGTGGTTGTGGATGCTGGGAACTGAACTACGGTCCTCTGAATGAGCAGCGAATGTTCTTAGCTGCTGAGCCACCCCTCCAGCCCCATAAAGTTGTATTGGGATGTAGTCACATGGACTCACTAAACAATTCCTATTTGGCTTTCACACGGAATGTGAAGTTGCTGTAACAAAGGCCACGAACCCACAGGCCTAAAAGAGACACTGTTAGCTCTGCAGGCTAACAGACCATAAATAGCATCAAGCTCACCGAATTCCAGGAACTCCTCAAAGCAATTATGCACCACACCCCTTGGGAACGGAGAAGTGACTGGGAGAGCCTGGAGCCTGCGGGGACATTACCGACCAGCAGAGCAGCCAAGATTGGCAGAAAGTTCGTGCAAACAGAGGTGGACACGTCGGATAGATGCTCAAAGCCAGACCGGGAATGGGCATGTGACAGAATGTGGGGGGCGGGAAGGTATGCCAGGAGACCTGAGGTGTGGCTTCACACAGACGCCAGAAGAGGCAGCCACTGAAGAAGCAGTGACAGCTCCAACCCCCAAATGTGCCCAGGTCCTGAGTCAGGAGAGATTCAGGCGAGGCAGTAGATGGCCTGGGTGAAACAGCTGTGGCAGCAGACATGAGAGGCAGGCTTGGCACCCTGAGCCAAGCTGTGAGGAGCAGGGGTGTTGACAGACTGTGTGAGCGGCTTGGACAGTCGCTGCGGCTACCAAGCAGACTGTAGCGCGCACACGGGCCGAGGCAGAGAATCCAGGAAGGGAAACACCGTGCTTGTCTGGGTCGAAGGTGATAAAGCTGAACAGGGACAGTTGGGTTAGAAAGGTCACTTACATTGCTCAGATTCCAGGCCACCAGGCACCCCTCCAGGTTCCTGGGCATAGCCTTATCATTGGAGGCCTGTGCAGATCTGGGGGAGGCATGTATGTGCAGAGGTGGGTGGGCGCCCTGCTCCCAGAGACCACCTTCCTTACAGCCCACTCATATAGTGGTGTCCAGCCTGGCAGCCCAGCACTGCCGTGTGTAGGAGCTCCTCCTCGTCACTCAGGATAGCCTTGGTCTCCAGAAAGTGATACTGGCGCTGTTTGTCCACCATGAAGGTCCCCTCCAAGAGGAGGTGCCAGAGGTTCCTGGTGTGGAGAAAAGACAGGCCGCAGACGTTAAGACAACTGGCGAGATCAGGGACAGCTGTGTCCTCCAGTCGGATGGAACTCATCCTAAACTCACAGAGAGTGACACCAGAGGGCATGCAGCAGCCCTGTGTGCTAAGATTTGCCCATCAAGGCCTGCATGGAGCTAGGGAGATGGCTCAGTGGTTAAAATGCTTGCCACCAGCGAGAAGGCCAGAGTTCGGATCCCAAACTCACATAAATCCCAGCAGGAGTGGTGACTTGTTCCTAATCTAGCCTGAGAAGGGGCCAGAGGGACCCCAAAAGACAATAGACATGCTGCTGAGCTAGGGCGTTGATTGAGAGATTCTGCTGCACGGAACAAGGAGGAAAATGATTGAGTTCGATCCCTGAGCTTAACTTGGGACTTCCACATGCATGTGCACTCATGTGCTCCCATACACATGTAAACACACACGCACGCCCACCACACACACGTACAAGAAAATAGAAAGCCTAACATGCTGGCACATGCCTGTAATCCCAGCATTTGAAAGGCAGAGGCGGATCATGCGTTCTAGGCCAACCTGGGCTTCACACTGTAACCTTGTCTTAGCGCGCGCACACACACACACACACACACAGAATTTGCCAACCGATCCCATCTGCCATCTCACTGCACCAATGAGAGCAGCACTGGAATGGAAGCCCAGGACTACATCTGGATTCAGGCTCAGTCTTCAGCTAGATGAACAATCGTGGGTAAAGGACCTAATGCCCTATGCCTCAGTTTCCCCACCTTTAAAATGGGGCAATAATGTTAATTATTGTCTCCTGCAAGGTTTGGTCATTTGAGATGACCTCCACGTACTGAGATCAAGCATTCTTTTCTTTTTGGTCTCTGTCACTTTCCTCAGACCTGGGCCAGGGCTTGCCACTTAGCACGTGGCCGGTAAACACCAACTGGCATGGACAGAGGAGCTCTCTGCCAATGCTTGGCATTGCAGCTTCTTGATTGTTACAGTTCTGAAAGGGGAAGCAACTCTTCCAAGGTCACAGAGTGGCAGAACCCAGATTCTAGAAGGGACCTGCTTCTGCTAACACTTCCTGTTTCCTGAGTAGCCTTGAACTTTTGATTCTTTTGCCCCCTGAGTGCTGGGATTACAGGCATATGCTACCAGAGCTGGTTTAAAGTGCTGGGAACCGAACATAGAACTGCATGCATGCTGGTCAAAAACTATCGGCTGAGCCACACCCCAAGTCTGAACAGCGTTCACCCAGGCGTTCTGCAGAGAAGCACTAAGGTTCCCAGGGGCAGCTCAGGCTCAGCCCTGGACTGCTGACTCCCGTTCACACCTCTGCCAAAGACGGATGGAGCAGCAGGAAGGAGCGGTAGGGCTGGTGGCCTGTCACCACGCCATCTTTTTGAATTGTAGTACAGCCCCTTTAGAAGTCCCCAGTGATCCTCTATACTGGAGGGATGGGATCGTGGGCAGCTCCCTAGGGTGGTGGCCTCAGGGAGGGGCACACACCTGAGGAGCAATGCTCCCCTTTCCGTACAGCATCTAAGTCTCACTGCAGCTGCCCCAGCTCTCCCTCCAACTGCAGGCCTCGAGGCTGGCCCAGGATACCAGTCCCCAGGACTGTCAGCCGCACATAGGGCTTTGGGGGCTGTGACAAGAACAGAGCTGAGGGAGTAAAGGATCCTCTGCAGGAGGAAAGTCAGCTGCTGACCTTCGGCCATAGGGGGCCCAAGGCTGCCTATTACTACCTGTGACCTGAGTTAACGGAGCTTAGCTTCAGCCTCTGGACAGCTCATGAGGTCCTCAGGGCCAACCACCAAACCTCTACCTCCCAACCACCCCTCCTACTGGGCTAAGGAAGCTGAGTCCCCCTCCCCAGCGCTGTGGTCTGCACTAATATGCCTGATCAGCATCTGGAACTTCTAGGCTAAGGAAGCTGAGTCTCCTTCTCCAGTGCTTTGGTTTGCACTAATATGCCTGGTGACTACAAAAAATCAGTGTTCAAGGTCATAGGCCAAACAGAGAGGGAAAAGGGGACCCAAGGCCTCCCAACTGCAAGGGGCACCTAGCACTCACCTTCTTTGTGTGCTGGTAGGCTGCTGTGAGGCTGAGTTCCCCTTGGAGGCTCTTCAAGCAGCAGTGCAGGACCTTCCTGCCCTGACTATTCTCCGCATGCACCTCACTCTGCACAGCTGCACTCCAGGCTGACTCAAGCTCTCTCCTGCTGTGGAAGAGGCCTGGCATCAAGGTTGTCACCATGGAAACCTGCAAGGAAGCCAGGTGGATGATCAGAGTCTTTGAACCTGTTAGTTTCCTTTTATTCACTTTGCTACTTGGTGAACTCCTATTCATCCTTCAAAACTCCTCCAGTCAAGACCATCTGTGCATGGCCTCCAGAGGAGGGAGATGGGGGAACTCGTTCTTCCTTATAGGACCCTAAAGAAAATCCTTTCTATAACTCTGAACCAAGCAAATACAACTCCCTCCCTCCTCTTTGATTTAGGGTGGGACTATTATCTCACTGGGTCATCATTTTTTATTGACTTTATTGAGCTATACATTTTTCTCTGCTCCCCTCCTTTTCCCTCTCCTCCCCTTCATCCCTCTCCTATGGTCCCCATGCTCCCAATTTGCTCAGGAGATCTTGTCTTTTTCTACTTTCCATGTAGATTAGATCCATGCATGTCTCTCTTAGGGTCCTCATTGTTGTCTAGGTTCTCTGGAATGGAAAAAGATCTTCTCCAATCCCACATCAGACAGATCACCAAAATATACAAAGAACTCAAGAAATTGGTCATCAAAAGAACAAACAACCCAAAAAGAAAATGGAGTAAGGACCTAAACAGAGAACTCTCAACAGAGGAATCTAAAAAGGCTGAAAGACACTTAAGGAAATGTTCAACATCCTTAGTCATCAGAGAAATACAAATCAAAACAACTATGAGATTCCATCTTACACTTGTAAGAATGGTCACCATTCTTAGCAGACACCATCTCCGCATCCAAGGGGCACATTCTGGGAAGTAGCTTTTGTTCCCTGGGTCACCCTGGTCCTCCAGAACCTGGAGGAGCTGGGTGTTACTCTGGCTTGTATTGGGGCTGGAGGAGGCCCATGACCATGGCCCTCCCCCAGCCAAGCCTCAAACAGTGTCCTCTACCCTAGAGCCATGGTTCCTGTCACACACAATCTCGAGGTCAAATTGGGTGGGGCCATGCTGACCCTCCAGCCAAATACCAGACCCTGGGATGGGATTTTATTCTTTCACTAACTTCCCCATCTGGGCTTCCCAACCAGCTGCTCAGGCAGAAACTACAGTGTCATTTAATCCCTTCCTTAAAATCCACCCACTGCCACTAGGGAGCAGCCCCAGCCTCCTGGGAAACTGGGTTCCTCTAAGCCACCTTCCCCACCAGCTGGTGGCCCATAGGAGCCAGCTGCCACCTCCTCTTCACAGTCCTGTCCTGGTCATCCCTGACACCCAGTCACCTCCTCACATTCCCTGAGCTCATCAGGAATAACTCACCACTGCTGTCTACCCAGTGCTGCCCCAGAGTGGACTGTGCTGCCCCAGAGGGCACTGTGATGCCCCAGAGGGGACTGTGCTGTCCCAGAGAGGACTGTGTTGTCCCCAAGGGCTGAAATGAGCTGGACTCTCCCTGGTCCTGCGTTGCTCCTGAAGAAAAAGGGTTTGGAGCAGAACTTTCTGGGGCACAGTCTGAGTGACAGCATGGGATGGGTAGAGAAAGACCCTTCACAGAAGTCACTGAGTAATGCCAGCTGTGCCTTCAAAACTGTCACTCTGGTGGCTACCTTCTCCCCTCAGAAGCTGCTAAGCAGAAACACAGGAACTGGATTCTCTTTATGGTCTCTATTCAGATCCTCTTGGTAACATTTCTGAGAACTCTGGCTGAGTCCTGTCCCTGTGTCTGTGGGTGACATCAGCCACAGGCCTCCAGTTTTCCCTGTGTGGAGGAGGGGTCAAGGGCAGGGAGCCCAGCTCCTGTGTTGAGTGTCAACAGGGGCAGGCAGCAGGACACAGGGCCTGTCTAGGTTACAAAAGGCCATTGTTCCAGGCCTGTATGTACATACTCAAACACACATGCTTATGCACATACACAAATACACAAATCTCTGTGTTTGTGCACAGATAGACACATATGCACACATATACACAGCACGTACACAAATATGCACAAACACTGTCTTACGGTTTCTATTGCTGTGATAAAATGTCATGACCCAAAACAGCTTGGGGAGGAGTTTGTTTCCTCTTCTGAGTCTCTTATGGGCCACACCCCATCACTGAGGGAAGTCAGGGCAGGAATTCAAGGCAGGAACCTGGAGATGGGAACTGGAGTAGGAGGCTTGAAGGAACGCTGCGCTGCTCGCTGGCTTGCTCCTCATGGCTTGCTCAGCCTGCTTTCTTATATCACTCAGGACCACCTTCTCAAGGGTAGCATCACTCACAATGGGCTAGGACCTCCCCCATCAATCACTAATTACAAAAATGAATGATACACTCACCTACTGACAATCTGATGGAGGCATTTTCTCAATTAAGTTTAATTTGTGTGAAGCTGACAAAAAAAAAAAACCCAGCACAACAAATGTACCAAGCTGTGTGCACACATGCATATGCATGAGCAAAGACATGCATACACGTGCACACACAGGCACACACAGGAGATGACCTGCACACCTGCACTGCTTACCCAGAGGTAGGTGGTGGCTTCGGTGTACACCGGATCTTGACTTTCCTGTCGTGGCTCTGACTCCTGCCGGTCGTGCTGACCACCAGATCTTTGAGGGTTCAGGCCTTGGCCAGCGTCAGCTCTGAGACAGCCTGGAACGTGACCCAGTGTGGCCAGTAGAGCTGATGAGCTGCAGACACTGTGAGCCATGGGCTGTCCAAGTTCAAGGCTCCTGCAAAAGCACAGAGAGAAGCTGGTGTGTAGGGCAAGAAGGGAGTGACTGGCAGGCACCAAGAGGCCGTCCTTCCCAGTCTCATCACAGCTGTGCAGAGCTGGGCTTCCTGGGATTGGGCACCAGAATTCCTTTACAGAGGGAAAGAAATGTGAGTTTTGGCAGGACCAGTGCATGCACACCCATCTAAACTCGCCCAGCGGCACCCTGGGAATCACTATGTTCCCTTCTAGTTAATGAAGCACAAACCACAATGCTCGGGTGAGGGAACTACATCTACCAGGCCTGTGAACCTTTTACATTGCAGTAGGACCCTGTCATCTCCAAAGTTCATGTCTGAGAACTGTAACTGGGTTAACAAACAGACAAAATGCTCAGTGTGGAGTGCTGACGAGGGTGCTGTGGCCTGTAGAGGACAGATGATGACCTTGGGCTGAGGAAGGCTCATGGCAGCTACAGTTAAGATGAGGCCATCCTGGACGCTGGCCCTTAAACCAATATGACTGGTGTACCTTGAAAAGAAGGGACGGTGGGCCCAGAGACACACAGAGAATGCCAAGTGACAATGACAAGGAGATTGGTGTCAAACAGCTGCAAGCCAAGGAACAAGCATTGGCGGCCTCCTGCAGGCGCCACGAAAAAGCAGGGAAGTGCTCTCAGGGTCTTTGAGATGCACGACCTTCAGGTCTACAAAAGGCTTTCTGGTTTTTGTTTTGTTTCGGCTTGGTTTGGTTTTTCAAGGCAGGGTTTCTCTGTAACTTTGGAGCCTATCCTGGAACTTGCTCTTGTAGACCAGGCTGTCCTGGAACTCACAGAGATCCACCTGCCTCTGCCTCCCAAGTGCTGGGATTAAAGGCATGTGCCACCACTGCCTGGCTGGGCTTTCTGTTTTTTAAGCCCCCCTGTTAGTGACCATTTGCTATAGCAGCCATTGGAAACTAGTGCACCTGCCTGGAAGTTACTGGAAGGGGTGTTCCATCTGAACAAAGGGGCATATATTAAGATTACAAAGGCACCAGACACGGGGCCGTGACCCAGACAAGTGGCAGGAGTTCCTAACGGGGCAGCAGAGGGGACCAAGGCAGTGGCGCCAGGAAGTCTCTTCAAGGAAACTCTCCAAGGTAACTAAAGCCCATAAGTGTTCAGACATGCCTGGCCATTGGAGAGAATTCTGGTAAAGTTGCTAAAAAAAAAAAAAGGCTTGGGAATAATTAGAAGGAAGAAAACAGAAAACTTATCAAATATGAAAACGGGTGATTGTAACCACCACCTACACACCTCTGCCAGGAAGACATGTACACAGCCCCACTACATAAACACGGAGTGGTAGCAAACACAGCTCTTTCTGGAGGATGCGGAGAAGTGGATATTTGGAGAAGGGCCCTTGTGAGAATCGGATTCTCATATTCTTAGTAGGGCATCTACCAAGAATGCCTACTGAGGCATATTGGCAGTGAGGCTGTATTGTTTTTAGAGGTGTATCTAAAGAAAGAGCTGAGATAATTCACACTATTTACTGTCGGGAGCAAGACTTGGGGTTGGAAGAAAGGCTCCTATAAGCTTTACTACTGAAAACTTCACTTTGAGGGCCTGGGGATGGAGCTCAGTTGGTAGTGTGCTTGCTAGTCCATATGTAGCCTTGTATAAAATTGGGGCATGGTTGTGCACACCTGTAATCCAAGTCCTTGGGAAGTGGAGGCAGGAGGATCAGAAGTTCAAGGTCATCCTCAGTTATATGAGAAGTTTGAGGTCAGACTGACTGGCCTATGTAAGACTTCAGCTCAAAAAGAAGGAGGAGGAGGAGGAGGAGGAGAAGGAAGGAGAAAAAGAAGAAGAAGGAGAAAAAGGAGAAGGAGAGGGAGAGGGAGGAGGAGGAGGAGGAGAAGAGGAAGAGGAAGAAGAAGAAGAAGAAGAAGAAGAAGAAGAAGAAGAAGAAGAAGAAGAAGAAGAAGAAGAAGGTGGTGGTGAAGGTGAAGGTAAATTAATACAGATGATCCAGCAACGTGGTTCAGTGGAAAAGCACTTACCCAGCATATAAGAGGCCATGGGTTCAATCCCCAGACTGCACACAGACAAATAACGGTCCCCCCAGACAGATGCACCATCCCTGTCCCCGTTTCGCTTGCCCTTCCAGCTGCTCTGCTAACCTTCCATCACCCTCTTCCCCTCTTCTGCCTAGGACTTTGGTACTTAACACCCCCTTTGCCCAGAACACACTTCTCTGGGGATAAAGTCGCCTTACATTTTAATTTTCAGTGGAAACATTCCTTGACCAGAGAAGTCTTCCCGCCAGCGCTACCCAAACAAGCTTGCCTGTGTTCAGCTCTCCCACCTCACTCAGGCAAGTATATTTTCCATGATTTCAGTTTTATGTTGTATGTTACCTATGCCAATCAACAAGTTGGCAAGGACTGATTCTGTTTCCCTATGGCTCTCTGCTCCAGGCTGGGTACACATAGGGATTTCATAAAGGCAACCCAGAAAAGAGTCTAGAACTCTGTGACCATGTGCTGACCCATCCCTCCAAGGATGAAGGTAAGCTTTGAAATCCTCGGTTCCCTGCCTAGGCACCAACTTTGTGACTGATGGTCAGGAGCTGTGTGCAGTGGAATTCCTGGACCAGATTTAACTCATGGGTGTCCTCGGGGCCATTCTCCATCCTCAGCTTCTGGTGGGGACTGCACTCATGGGCAACATGCCTCGTCTGACCTGTATGGGTCATCCCAGAGCCCTGCCTCCTTCTGCCTGGCATTTCTGCCAAGCTCTGAGGAGAAGTGAGTTCCAGCCTGATTCAGGGCTTCAGGTACCCTAAGCAAGCACACCATTAGGCCATTTCCACCCCCATTTTGCTTTTGTAGACAGGGTCTCATACAGTAAGTAGACCATTGACTGGTTATGAGGTCAAGAATGATCCTGTACTCCTGATTCTCCTGTTTCTGAAAGACCTGGATAAATCCAGATCCCCCTAGCAGGAGAAAATAGAGCCAAAAATCTAAGTAGGGAGGGAAGAACCAGAAATCCAGGATTAGCTGGTTCAGTTTCATGAACTAGCTGAAGATAAAGTTAGATTGCAATCTTGAGAGTAATCTTGAGGAACAGGGAGTTGCCCCCTTGTGATTATCACTGGTATTTTTGGAATTTTCTATGATGCCCTCCCTATCCCTTTGGATTACTGGGCTGTGGTTTCTTCCCTTAAAAACCCCTTCTCCCAGTTACTCGGGGTTGAACTCTTCCCCTACGTGGGTTATAAGTCTTGGCCCCAGTGCACTGGTTCCCATCTTGTCGATTAAACCTCGTGTAATTGCAGCAAGAACGGTCTCTCGTGAATTACTGGAGGGGGGGGATCGTGTTATCCCGAGACTTGAGTGAGAGTCTCCCCACACTGGGGGTCTTTCATCTCCATCTCCTAAGTGCCAGGGTTACAGGCATGTGGCACCATGGTTTATTAAATGCTCGGGATGGAACCTAGTCCATGCAGCTGGGCAAGCACTCTACCAACAGAGGTAAATCCTTAGCCCCTTAATGTAGCTTTCAAAATGACAGGTGAGCAACCCTCCAACGCACTGTGCTGTTTCTAATTAACAGCTGTATCTGATCAACGGCAGGGCCAACAGAATGGTAGCCAGATGGCAGAAGCAGCATCTTAGCCCTCCAGGTCGCAGTGCAAGGTACATTCCTCCCCCCACCTGAGTACTGTACCCAGGAGGCCGTACTTGATCCTCAGGGTGTTGCTTTCCACAGAGCCATGCTGCTCCAGCAGGCCCTGTATGTGGACCTCTGTCACACAGGGAACCTGCTGCTGGACACCCAGGATGGCTGACTGCAGCCCAGCCTCCGCCTTCTTCTCCAGCAACATTGTGGGACAGTAGGTAACATGCATGGGTGGTTGTCCCCCAGCACACTCCCCACCTTGGGGGCTCAGAGACCCCACCCCTGTTTCTCCTGTGCCTCAGGGGCATTGACAGCAGGGCACAGTGACTGGGCCTGTCTAGAAAGTAAGCTTTCTAGGGCTTGCAACTCTGCAAGTCTATCATACAGACAAAGTATACAGAATTTGCTAAGGCATACTACAGGACCCCAACATGCCTATGCTAGGCAATTCACAGTCACTGCTCCAAGTTCCTCCAGCCCAGGCCCCAGGAATCTTCCAGAACACCACAAGGAGCGTAGCCAAGGTCTAAGCTGCCCCAGCACCAGGTCCAGCACCTCTCTCATTGATCCTCCGTTCAGACATCCTGGGGCTGGGGATTTAGCTCAGTTGGTTGGGTGCCTGCCTAGCATTCAGCTAGGTGTGATTCTCCACACTGAAACCTGGGTGCAGTGGTGCACATCTGTAATCCTAGCACTTGGGAGGTAGAGACAGGAGGGTCAGAAGCTCTAGGTCATCCTCAGCTGCCCAGTGAATCTGCAGTCAACCTGGGGATGACAGACTATTACAAAACAAAACCTACATCTAAATGTGCTTCTCACCATGGGTTAGAGTCAAAACAGTACCAAAGCTGTTGCTTTAGAAAGCTGCCATTTTAGGATACCTAGGGTGGGCTTACAGGGAAGAAGGTCAGTGGGCAAGTGGGAGCCAGTACCTTTTAGTGGACATCAGTGTGAAGGAGGCTGAGCTAGTGGGGGGTCACACAGGGATACTGGGCTGTCCATCCCCAACCTGACCACAGAACAGGGTTATGTGAGCCTCATCATTTAGCACACGCCTCAGAGATGCAGAGATAGACAATCTGCTGCCCAACTGCCATGGATGTTCCATCAAGGACTATAGGTCTGCCTGCTGTCACCAGCTTTGCCTCCATCTGGGCCTCGAACTGCTGGGTCTTCTTGTCTGTCTCTCTGTCACTCTGGACCTGAAAAAGTCCCAGCATCACCTGAGGGGCAAGCATGTCCAACAGTCCTTGTTCTGACCCTGTGATCTCGGACCAGATGTGGGTAGGGGCAGAGCTTAACTGATGACCTTCTACTTTGACCTTGACCTCATTTTTTTTTAAGATAGGGTCTTGGGTAGCCCAGGCTGGCCTCAAACTCCCTATGTAGCTGAGGATGACCGTGAACCTCTGAGTGCTGGGATTACAGGTGTGTACAGGATTACGCACCATGCCAGTGTGTGTGGTCTTGGGATCAAGTTCATATCAGGCAAGCACTCTACACCTGAGCCTCATCCCCAGAGCTTGGCCTGGGTTTTAAAACCCTGAAGTGTTTGAAATAGGTTCTCTAGTCCATAGTCAGGGGGAAGCAGGAGGGACCCCTCTGTCCTGCCCTCTCCTCACCTTGTTACAGGACAGACAACTGCCTAGAATCAGCACCTCTGCGACCTCTGGCTGCCCTGCCCTCCATCCCAGTCTTGAAGCCTGGGTCACTGTAGTATCCTCCTCCTAACCCCACTGGCCTCTTTAAGATGTCAAGGTCAGGGTAGAGCCAGGAGCCAGGACTCTGCAGCGAGGACTGTGGCAGGAGCGCAAGGCCACCCTTGAGGCTTGCTGGGGAACTACAGACAATTGGAACCATTGCTTTCAGTGTCAGGTGCCAAGTTGAAGGATGGCCCCACAGACAGTGCCTGCAGGAACTGCGAGCAGAGACAGGTGTGGTGGTGCACACTGCAGTCCCAGAGGACTGCAAACTCAATAATATTCTGAGCTACAGAGTGAGTTTGAGAAGAGATTGGTCAGTGGTTAGAGAATTTGCTGCTCTTCCAAAGGACCTGGGTTTGGTTCCAGCACCCACACGGGTGGCTAACAACTGCCTGTCACCCCAGTTCCAAGGAATCTGATACCTTCTTCTAGTCTCTATGGGGTTCAGCCATGAACATTGTACATATACACACACTCAGGCCCACACAAATACACATAAAATAATAAACCATTTTTTTGAAAAAGATTAGGAGGGAAAATGATAGAGAGGGGAAGGGAAGGGGAGGATGGAGAGGAGAAGAAGAAAAGGAGGGAGGAGAGGAGGAGGATGAAGAAGATGGAGGTGAGGAAGAAGATGAAGTAGCACAGACATAGTAATAGAGGCCTGTAGTCCTAGTGCTAAAGAAGGGGGGACAGGAGGATCACACGTTCTAGGTTAGCCTAAGCTACACAATGAGACCTGTTTCAAAGGGCAAACAGGTAAGAGACAACATGGCCTATGTGAGTATGTGTGCATGTATATGAATATGTTTACACAAGCATATGAATGTTTACACAAGTATACACACACTCCCTTTTTACAATAATGCATGTAGTCCATGCACTGTGTGTCCCAATGATGGCTTCCTTAGCTCTTCATTGGGGCTGTGGATGGCAGCACATCCCAGACCTGGCACCCACAGAAGGAGACTCCAGTTATAGTTCCTGCATCAGGGGGCAGACAGCTGGGCTTCTCCAGGCCTGCCACTATGTATGATCCCCACACTATGTATGACACACACACCCTGTCAACTCAGCTGAACCCAGCACAGCTGCCTGTTTCCTCGCCTGCTTTGGGAAGCCGAGACCTGGGAGCTATGAGAACAGGCTGTAGTGAGTTCCGCAGCTCCAGATGCTGGCGTTACTGCAATGCATCAGAGGTGTGAGCGCTGCACAAGGCTCTCTGGGGGCCCATGGGGCTTTTCCACGCTGGCACTGAGGACTCAGGGCTCCAGGACTGAGAATGAGGAGTCTTAGCCTAGGTGCCTGGGGTTGGAGGAAGACGAACTTCCTGGGCACTCAAGAGGTAAAGGCAGGTGGTGGAAAGGGTGAGGTCAGAGGTAGTGGAGGGGTGAGGTCAGGGGTGGTGAAAAGGGTGAGGTCAGAGGTAGTGGAGGGGTGAGGTCAGAGGTAGTGGAGGGGTGAGGTCAGAGGTAGTGGAGGAGTGAGGTCAGAGGTAGTGGAGGGGTGAGGTCAGAGGTGGTGAAAAGGGTGAGGTCAGAGGTAGTGGAGGGGGTGAG